AGCATATAGACAATATGCTTGAAACATTTGACGAATGTATAAAGTAGTTGTTCCATCAGAAGGAGACGCTTGGGGACTGTGTAGTAGCGATTGATCGAATCACAACACAGACGCAAATCAGTTCACGTAATGGACAATGCAATTTAATGTCAGGCCCGAATACTTGCCATACTGTAGGTTACTTCCCGAAATCAATGGTGTTTTTAAGAGCAGTGAAAATTGGAAATGGAATTTAGCGACTTTTCTTGCTACGCCTGTTTCAGATAATGTGTTCGTTATTATAGGAAGGCGCTGGGGCGTGCGAGGCAAGGAGACTAAGCGAATTCACAAATTATACCTTCGAACACTTTGTTGGACTCCGGCTACGCAGCTGGCCTTTCGGCGCGCCGGTATAGTCTGCTGCAGCGCCGAGGTTGCCATTGCAGTATGCGTAACCCGAAGAGAGAACGGAATTATCATTTGCGGTGGTCAAAATGCAAGGGCATGTCCGTAAAGATTGTCGAACTCTTTATTCCCCAACGAAACCGGTAATATTTGCATGTTTTTACTTAGGCAGGCTCGTGCTCCAGTCGTCTAAATTGACTTTGAATTTTGGAAAAAAGGATCGTAATGTAGCCATATTTGCAACCTAGCTGTTAAATGGCATTTTTGTCTAAGACTTTAACTTGAGTGAGTCATTTATTTTCCTTTTTTCAAACAGCAGTGGTTCTTAAAATGTGTTCAATTTTTGGATTACAATGATATGGTATTTGGAAATATTAAACCAGCAATACGATAACTAATATAAGACAAAAGGAGATTTAATAGTAATAAACAAGTTAAAGCGTACATAAGTAGTAAGTTAGAGGAAAGGGTATTTAACTAGCTTAATATTTGACACCACAAAAGCGCGCAAGAACTAGAACCAAAATAAAAGTGTAACACAAAAGTGCCAAAATGCACATATAACGAAACTGTGGAAGAAGCGGACCTGATCGGGGACCATGAGATTTTCGAAAATAGCGTAAGCATGCGGACAATATGGTATTTGTCCATGTCATAACCCAAATAGCAACCGCACGTGACCGAATTAGACGCAAACTTAACAAACTCTAATCCTTAACTCCCCGAAACTAACTAAGTAAACGTCAATAGCATAACCTAAACAAACTAAACTTAAAATAATATGAATTAGACTAAAACTTAAATGAATATAATACTTAAGTAAGGTTTTAGAGTAAACACAACATGGCATATAAAATTTGGTTGCAATTCCCTAAAGACCTCTGTGGTATTAAGTATAATATATTGATGGACCCATGCAAATTATTGATGTAATGGTATGTAAGTATTGCACGCCTACAACAGCTAACTTAGTAGGCAGTCATACGAAGTAGGTGTAGTGAGCCCGAAACCAGACTGTCGCAGACCGATCGATGTACAGAGACACGCTGTAAGCTGTTCGATGCCAAAACCTTTCAGAGCCAGTTTGTTTTAACAAACCAAAATGAATCCAAAGGCGGGCGTTCCGAGAAATTTAATTTCAAGGAGACACGTTCTTTGGAAATTTGAGGAAACTGAATTTAGTAAATTTTCAAAAAAGGACCCCTGGGTTGTCGTCAGACTTAAGGAACTATGCAACGAAAGATTATCACTTCAAAAGTTGTGTGGGTGTCAATCGGAATCAGCAAATTGCGTCACCCGTGTCTGACAATAGCGTAAGGGTTAACTGCCTACTGCAATTCGCGTTGGCCCGGGGTTAGTCTGGGTCATCCGGTGTGGATGGTAATTGCCGTTCAAGTTGGTTCGTAGTAAAGGGCTGTATTCCCATCCATCTTCGTCTGAGCTTTTTGAACACTCCGTCCACCTCGATACAGCGGTTGATGCATGAATCATGGGAGTGCATGACCGCATTATCGGCTTTTTTGAAGGGGAAAACTCAAAAAATGCGTGCTTCGTCCCATTGAAAGATGTGTCCTCTGTCACGACAATGCATAGCCACAATGATCGCGTCTCTTTACTACCCTCTGGTGCTCGTGACTGCGTGTTGAGACGGATCTTCCTGTTAGGCCACTAAATACGGTGTCACAAGCTTCGCATGTGAATTTGTAGACGGCGCCTTTCGAACGAGGTAGCCAAACTTATACTTACAGCACTTTCGAACTGCTTATTGTTCGTTGTATAGTGTCTCAAGTCTGGCGACAAACTGGACATCCACTGTCGACAATTTCAGGCATAAGGGTTCCTCATCTTTTTAAAGTATGTGTCTCTTTGAATGAAAAACGAAAAACGGTAAAAAAGGAGCGTCCTTGTTTTTCTTGCAATTTTTCGCCTAACATTTTCTAAAAGTAATACCTCGCATTGATACTGAATTAATTTAGACCACGTTTACTTAAATAGTTTGCAGTTTGGTGAGTTAATAGATAATATCTTCGTGCACTTATAGTTATGTCTGCCTTTCTAAAAGGCTCTAATAAGTTAACACATGACAGTTAAGAACCATGGCTGCTGTGAATCATCGGCAGTGGTACCGCATTTTGAACTAACTTGGCGCAGCTTAGCTCTGAGACGAAAGACACTACATTTGAGCTAGGACTCTATGCATCCTTTTTATATGTACTTGCGTTTTCTGCAAACGATTGATATCAAGCATTCATTGCACCCTTATACAATCGCTGGTTTGACTATCTTGTCGTTAATTTAGAAAGTATCGGTTGCCGCCGATACGTGTGTCCAAAATGTTCGGTGCAGCGGTCGCCCTTCCCGATGGTCGAGCTTTTGTGGCGGGCGGCTGTTACCTGCGCTATCCATTCCCGGAGGGCGCGCATGTCAGTGTAGAGTTCTGCAACCTGCAGTCAAACTACCAATCAGACGACGCCAGTGAGTTCTGGCAACTAGCTGCACCCATGATCCACACCTGCAACTCATTCGCTATTGCCTATTTTAAGAGAATGGTAATTGCCGCTGGTAGCGGGCCCGAGGGACAGGAAGTCGAGGTCTTCTCCCCACCGGACGTAGATCATCGTCTCGGTCAGTGGACCCAAAACACAACAATGTCCGCATTACAGTCATGTTCAGCCCTTCTCATCTGTAATGATCGACTGTTTGCTTTTGTGGGTGATTAATGTTCTCCTGTGGAGGTAATGCTTATTATTTATCCCCGTGTTTATCCTGGAAGCATTCAGCTTAGCGGTGAGCAGACCGTTGTTTTGATGATGTCCTTTTACATTTCGTTATTTTTTTCAAAATATAAGCATCTGTGTGTAGGTTGACCTAACAGCAGTCTTGCATGTTGCGTTTGACTTGTTTGACTTGTCCGGTTATGGAAACGATATGGAACGCTTTGCATGATGAGGCGAATGAGACCGTATTCCAGAGCGAGGCACTTATTACCGTATTAAACTAAATGACACTAATTCCGCAATGAAACAATTTATCCCATCGGTTGACGGGAATGCTTAGCTTTTTAAGAATTTATGCTTATCCTCGTTATAATTGAATGTTTATTGCTTTTCTATTTGCGCCAATAAGTTCGTGCGCGTGGCGCAATGGAGGAATTGGACGCCAACGACGAAGCATCCTCTTGGTAGTGGATGGTAAAACGTGCACCGACTTTCGTGGGGGTAATCCAGGGAGCTGCATCCACCTTCTTGTGACAAACCCATGTCGTAGAGGACATTGCTCAAATGAGATTTTTAGATGATTCCTCTGCCTGAAATTTATATTTCATTTATGAAATCTGTTGACTATATTTTTAAGATTCTATTTCCATACTTAGTTCCGCCTAAACAAAATAGAAATTGATCAATAGGTTACATTGCATACTTTTCGTTTTCGTCGGTAATTCCGGTATGATTATTCACAAAAATTATTTTTATGTTAAGAAACATTCCGCAATTAAAAATATATTATGTCTTCTTGCGAGCAAGTTTCTACAGGGGTTTCCCTTGTGATCGTTCCGGCAGGGAACCATCTGCGGAGCCATGAGCGGTGTCGTATTACGAGGTGGAAAAAGGAAGTACTTATCTAGAGGCGGGTGGAAACAGGTAGTTGAATGGCAAGGTAAAAATAAGGAAGGGCAGGAAATAATAAGCACGTTAGTTCATTACGTATATTCGGTTTATATTTTCGCATGAAATGTTAAGAATACTGAAAGTAAGCCGAAAATTACTAACGAATGGATAACGCTGAAACTAGAAGTATTGTTTACCCAAACAGAATAATTTAACCTTCAGAAACCCCAACATTAAAGCGAAATGTACTTCAAAGTTGTAGACACTGTGCTTTTAGCGAACAATAATATTGGTAAGAAAACGTTCTAAATAAAGCCCTTCTGTCCATTGTGCTCAAGGATGAACGATATACTGTAAGTATGAACAGCAAAATAGTTGCGTTTACTGGAAGAGATCAATCAACAGTTTGGGACAATGTATTGGTGTGCAAGGCTAGTTGCCGTAAGTTGACCGTTTTACTGGTGTGTATGAATAATGAACGGTACAGAGTGTGTTGTTGGGTTGACCGGGACGCGAGTTATCACGCGGGCAATCCTGAGGGTACCAGAACAAAGGGACCTTACTGGCGACCGGTTCATGCATTTAAGAGCGACCTTCAAAGGGTGGAACCCAGGCCAGGACAAAGGAGGCGCGCGCAAGCGATAATGCCCCGAAAAACAACTGTTTCGCTGACAAGGCAAAACGACAATTTTTACCTCCTATGCCGATGTTTCCTGCAAATAGACGCTCGTGCATGAGCCCTAGATCCATATCGGTATCGGCGTCTGGATCCAACCGTGGTATTCTATATCCCTGACAGTCCCGGCATTAACCATATAGAATTATGCTATTGTACCCGCTGATGGCCATCATTAACAATGGCACTGCTTCCTAATGCATGCGACATGGTGTAGATTAGCAAACTCTGTTAGTGTACCATGCGCCAATCAACGAAATTGTATTAACCTTAAGCAGACGACTGGCTAAGTCAGCGACACAATGACCAATTAATTTCCAGGACGCCGTACACCTTTTGCATATGGAATCATTGCGTCTTTCTTTGTTTTTGCTTATGTAAGGAAAGAATTGTAGTAGATCACCGAAGCGTAAGATCGATAGGCGTATTTGTTGACATTGCAAAAAATAGTACAGTGAAGACTCGGCTGACGAGCATCCCCATCCACGCTCATCTGAGGTAAAGAGAGAGCCACAAACAAACAATTTTTTTTAGATTGACAAGCTTTCGCTATGTTTTAGTGCATGTGCGTGCCTGCGTCCGCCATTTATTATTTCCCATGGGCTTAGGTCCTCGGCTGCTCGCAGCCAATAAGAGAACAGTTGCAATTTGCTTGGTTTTGAGCTCTCTGTCGCTGCAGCTTTTCACGCCTAAACGTGCGCAGCGTTAACAGCAAATCGAATATTAGCGTAAAATGCTAATTGTGTGTCTTAAGCTGAAGGTTTCAGTAGGAAAAAATCTGTCTTTATGTTGCTTCACTCTCTCGCGTATTTTCGCCTAAGGTCGATGGGCTACGCCTACTCCAGCGGGGTTGTAATAGTCGGGAGACTGCTTCGAAGACTCCTGCGATGAAGGTTATGACCCTCCAGACTTCGGGTTCCGGATTTGCTGCCCGCCGTCTGTTCACTCGGCACTTGCTTTGGTTGGTAAAAGGATTCAGGTATACATTCGCTTGAATGAGGGCCCGTAGATATTGTTGTTTCAATCCTTTGTCAGGTTCTGTGCTGCAATATGTTTCAACTCTATGCATAAGAGTACGAATGCATTCACGCTTGTGGGACAGAGGGTGATTGCTGTTTAAGTGGAGTATTTGTTTCGTGCTTTTGGCTTTTGGCTTTTCTGAATATTGCGGTTTGCAGAAGTCCAGTGGAACTACGGCGCACCACGACATCGCGGAAGGGAAGTTGTTTATTTCCTTCCGCTTCCATCGTGAATTGGATATTCGTGTTCACCGAGTTTACTTACTTTTTGAGGTGCTCAATGTCGGATGGCTTGACAATTACGAAAGTATATGTTTGTATATTTGAAGGGTTAAAATCAAAGAATGTCCTTGAGTACCATATTAACATAAAATAAACCATACCATTGTGATTGCACGTGGCCGTGTATTGTTTGAAATGTTTTAATTCCATATATCATGCTTTATTTCTTTTGTGCATGGTTCTATAGGAGTTAAGACTAAGATGGTAAATAGTAACTCCTATAACCGAGGTCGGGATCTCCAGTTATAAGAGCTAACGCTGAGACGGTTAACGCTAACACCTAAAATCATCCATTAGTAGAGGAGAAGTCAGTGGAGGCCAGAATAGTAGGAATAGTTTATTGTG